TGGGACCCGCTGCCACACGTGAACTCCTATCTCTACTCAAACAATAATTAAAAAAAAAAAAAAATTATCCAGGAATGGTTTGCACACACTGTAATCCCAGCTACCTCAAGAGGAATGAGGCAAGAAGGAATTGCTTGAACCTGGAAGGCAGAGGGAGGTTTGCAGTGAACTGAGATGTGCCACCATTGCACCAGCCTGGGCGACAAGAGTGAAACAACTTGTGACCTCAGGTGATCCGCCTGACTTGACTTCCCAAAGTGCTGGGATTACAGGCTTGAGCCACCACATCCAGCCAATATATTCACCAGTTTTGTTATTAATTTTTTGAAGTCTTAAAAAATTTTTAATTGTGGTAAAATACACATAAAATTTACCATCTTAACCCTTTTTAAGGGTACAAGTTTAGTAGAGGTTAAGAACAGTTACATTGTTGTGCACCAGTCTCTAAAACTTCGTTTTTGCAAAAGCAAAATATATTACATTTTGCTTATCCATGTTTCAGTGGACACAAGTTGCTTCCATGTTTTAACTACTGTGAATAATGCAGCTGTGAATATGTGGGGTACAAATATCTCTAAGACCCTGCTTTTAATTCTTTAATATACCCATATTGAGGTATGATCTACCAGTAATTGTATGTATTTGAGGTATACAAAGTTTTTTTTTTTTTTGAGACAGGGGCTCACTTTGTTGCCCAGGCTGGAGTGCAGTGGTGAGATCTTGGCTCACTGCATCCTCTGCCTCTTCAAGCTATCCTCCTGCCTTAGCCTCCCAAATAACTGGGACTACATGCACAGGCTACCACTGCTGGCTAATTTTTTAAAATTTTAAAATACTGTGTAGAGATGATGTGTCGCCATGTTTCCCAGGTTGGTCTCAAACTCCTGGCCTCAACTGAACCTCCCTCCTTGGCCAAAGTGGTGGAATTACAGGCATGAGCCATTGAGTTCAGCCCAATGTGCTTTTTATATTTTTTTCTTTCTTTTTTTTTTTCTCTGAGACATGGTCTCACTCTGTTGCCTAGGCTGGAGTACCATGATGCAATTGTGGCTCACTGCAGCCTCAATCTCCTGGGCTCAAGCAATTTTTCTGCCTTGACCTCCCAAAGGGGTGAGATTATAGGTGCAAGCCACCGTGCCTGGCCAATGTGCTGTTTTGATATGTAGATATATTGTGAGTTTCTGGAAAGTTTAATATAGTCTAACATATCTTTCCAAAGAGATGCCAGGTTATGAAAGATGGATTTGTTTTTTTTGAGTGGTGCTCTGTCTTCCAGGCTGGAGTGCAGTGGCACCATCTCAGCTCACTGCCACCTCTGCCTCCTGGGTTCAAGCGATTCTCCTACCTCAGCCTCCTGAGTAGCTGGGATTACAAGCGTGTGCCACCATGCCTGGCTAATTTTTATATTTTTAGTAGAGATAGGGTTTTGCCATGTTGGTCAGGCTGGTCTCAAACTCCTGACCTCAGGTGATCAGCTCACCTCGGCCTCTCAAAGTGCTGGGATTACAGGCGTGAGCCACTGTATTCAGACTGAAAGAATGATTTTAATGAATTACTTAGATTAACTTCTCATATATTGTTTAATACTCTAATTCCACTTTAACTGAAATTCTAAATAAGATGTCTGATAAGCGATTACATCAAGTCCTTATTTACTTATGAAAATTAAAGGGTTATATTGGCCAAGAAAACGAACTCATTTAACTTCTTATACCTTAGGTGAAGGTTGAAGTCCTTCACCTAAGGTTGGTTAAACCAACAACAACAAACATCTTGATTTAGAGCAGGGGTTGGCAAACTTTTTTTTAAATGAAGAGACAAATAGTAAATATTTTAGGGTTTGTGCAGGCTGTAGAGTCTCTGTCACAACCACTCAACTCTGTCATAGGCAATATATAGCAGTTTGAAAGCAGCCATAAGCAATATATAAATGAATGGGTGTGGCTATGTTCCAATTAAACTTTATTTACAAAAGTAGGCAGCATGCCCAATTTGGCCTACGAGCCAGTAGTATTAATGGTATTTGGATTGACTCCTTCGGCCCCTAGGGATTACATGGACTTATCATTCCATATTTGTTTATACTGTATTTTCACTTGTTTTCTCTTTTGCTTCTCATAATTGATAAGGTTTAGGTAGGGCATATGCTTCTCTTTTGCTTCTCATAATTTATAAGGTTTAGGTGGGGCATACCAGTCAAGACTGGCAGAGGGTCTTGACTGCAGGTTGTCCAGGTTCTTGGCGTTTTGAACAAAGAATTGAACAAAATGCCCAGCAAAACAAAGAAAGAATGAAGCAACAAAAGAATGAAAACAGGGATTTATTGAAAAGGAAAGTACACTCCACAGTGTGGGAGCTGCCTGAGCAGCACTGGAAGTCCAGGATACAGATACCCAGTCCAAATACTCCCTAGAAGTTTCCCATTGGCCTTTTCATGCTCACCTCCCGTAAATCAGTGGTGGCCTGCAATCGGTCTGATTGGTTGCCATCAGCCAATTTCATTGATTCCATTTCATTCATTGATTCCATTCTCTGCAGCCAGTTAGATGCTAAGGTGAAGTTACAAAGTTGCAAACCAAGACTCCGCCCCAATCACTCTGATTGGTTGCGATCAGTTAATTTCCCATCTGCTGCGTAGAAAAGATAGGGGGTTTGCAAAGGGAATAGCTTGTGGTCCTTTTGTTACTTAGGCGTGGAAAGTTAGGGTTTTCCTTTCAATTTTGTTATAAGAAGTCAGTGTGAAACAGCCTTAGGTTCCCTGCCTCTAGACCCTATTCTGCCTCACATATTATCCCATTGTGCAGATGTTGTTTTCCATTGTACCAGGTTTCCATTGTAACTGAGAAAGTAAGATACGAGATGTTGGGTAAAATCTAATTCATACCTGGATTTTGTTACTCTTGTTCGAAATAGCTGTTATTTTCACATTTTTTTTTTTTTTTTTCTGTGAAGGTTTTATTGACAGAGGGTAGGGGGCCTCAGTCCTTCTTGGCGGCCACTTTCCTCTTGGCGGGCAGGACGTTGCTTAGCTCTTACCTATTCATCAAGTCTGTGCGGGGACCATCCATTCCCAAAAAGGATATGGCCTTTGCTCCTACGACGCCGGCGTGCATGATTTTGCCTGCAGGTCCTCCAAGGCCAAATGGCCCTCAACTTCATTTTCCAAAAAGAGTGGGGGACACCACTCTGCACCAGGAT